TGGTGTCGATCACCATACAGAATGCTAGGGGAGGCCTGTTGCATTTAAATTCCACCTTTCACTGGCCAGGCCCAGAGAGCCAGGTGATCTGGGTGTGGATGATAAATCTCCCCTTGAGCCTGAGACAGCAGGTCCCTTCAAACGGGGAGGGGCCATGGTTCGGCTGACAGGACTTGGATTATCTCTGCCACCCAGGGCTTCGATGGCCACCAGGGAGCCACCAGAATCAAAGACAGCCCCTGTTCCCTCACTCTGACTAGAGTTGGGGATATCAGGCTGAGAGGAGGGAAAGCATAAAGCAACGCGTCTGGCCATGGGTGATCTAGTTGGTGGGTGGAGCCACGGACACGGTTCAACTTGTCTGTCTCAGACAGACGTGATGTCATTGGAGCTTCCGTAGTTGGTCACGCCAAGGCGATTCCCATAGTGAAACACCGAGCGAAGTTAGAAAAAGAACCAGATTGCAGCAAAGTTTCTTCAAAGACTCTAACATTCTCTCTGAGTCTACAGCAGTAGAGTAAGTCAGAAAAATCTGACTTACATACATGCATTGAACTGTATATATATAAAGGCTTTTAGAAAAGGCCTCAGAAGAATTGTGGCGCGGTCTTACTTAAAAGAATCTTGTAATGCCGCTGACATATAGGATGTTAACCGAAGGGCATTTTATTTGTTTACAATAATTTAATAATCTTGGTAGGTCTTAGTAACTCCACAAAAGGAAAAGGGAACTCCTGCAACTGAGTTTTGCTGTTTGAGATTTTTTCACTCTTCATCTGAAAGGCCTTCTCAGTCCAAAGCTAGAAATGGGATAAGCATCATATTTATTTTTTCGGGAACGTCCATGCTACACAGCTCAATTCACATGCAGATTGGAGTCCCTTAAAAGTTGCTGTCCTCATACACTTGGTAGGACTTATTCTATTTCAACCCTCTGCCATTTTCAAAGAACTGCGGTGAGAAAGGCAAGCCTAAATGACTGTCTGAAACCGTAGCTCACCAAACATATACGCCTGAAATTGCGTATACGCAGAAAAAGAAAGCTAATGGGACGAGCATGTAGCGCGGCCTTACGTAAACATATCACCAGAATGATTGACAATTAGCAGGACCACTTATTTAGATGATCCACCCAGAAATAAAAGATAATCTATACCTTAAAGCAGGGGTGTCAAACTGGTTCCAGAAAGGGCCGTGTGGCTGCAGGTTTTCTTTCCAACAAAGCAATAGCACACCAGACTCCTGTCAACTCATCAAGTGAGTCCAATCTGAACATGATGACTTGATTAGATGACAGGAGTCTGGTGTGCTATTGGTTGGTTGGAAAGAAACACTGCAGCCACATGGCCCTTTCTGGAACCAGTTTGACACCCCTGCCTTAAAGAGTAGGGGTGAGTATTGGCATGTGTCTGGTGATATGATATATATGATATGATATGATCCATGTGTCATGATACTTGGGTCACGATACGATATTATCCAATATTGCAATATCACTATATATTGCAATACTTTTGCCAGCTAACAAAATTAAATGCATAGATCAAAAAGCAAGTGCTGTATATGTTCATTGGAAGATATTGATTTGGTTATTTTGGTATCCATGTTGTTTGGGTTTGAGTCTGTCCATATCTTCCACTGTGACTGCCTCAACTACAGATATTGCGCTGCGCCGCACAGCAAAAGGGCTTCACAGCTCTATCTGCCAGATGGGTGGTGCAGAGGTAGCCCATTTTCCCTCATCGTTTTAGCAAAAAACGTTTTTAAAATCAACATTAAGAACTGAAAGATCAATATTATATCAGGCAGCCTAAAAATTCCAATATATTGCCAAATCAATTTTTCTCACAGGTGCCAGTTTACCACGGTGTCTGGAGGTGAGAGCTCAACACGGACTCACGATCTACGCCCAGACCCATAGACATCACTTTTATAGAACTAAAGATTAGGGTTATGGTAATAAGACCTTTCAACCTTTACTTGGAAAAAAATATGACTTAGATGAAAAACGATGAAATGCTTCTCAGTGGTCATAAGAGGCTTTAGGTTGCTGTAATGCCACACACTAATTTTTCTTTCAATATTATGGACATTAAAAATGTTTGATATGAAAATTAAGTTAAAAAGATGGGAAGCATTTTTTTTTTTTTACGATACATCTAGTTGTTTTTACCAAAATTTTGCTTAGATGGCCAAACACAAATGTTTGGTGTGCTTTTAAGATTTCTGAAAATTTAAATATATTCAAAAACATGTCTTCTTTTTTCCATACAGCTAAACTGTAATGATCTATTTTGGTTTTGTTAAACATATCAAAGTTTAAGTTTGTGATAAGTTCAGATTTTGATCAACACCAAATAACACTGGTTGCAAAAGTAAACATTTTTTATTATCATTCAGTGACAGAGACGCTAATCTATACTTCTCATACTTTTTCAGAGTGTCTTTCAGGGTGTGAAACTGATAGAAGTAAATTTACTTAGCTCTTATAACAAAATGAATTGAGCCTGGTCTCATGCAGAGAGGGGAAAGCACTAATACACACCCTTTTAATATTAACGAGATTTGATTTTATCTTGGATCATGGGTGTAGCAGTCAGTGATCTTGTGTTGGGGTCCCTGTATGTCAAGGGGCATGCCAGGGAAAGAGAGGGTAGATTAGAGAAGGCAGCTGCCCAGCCAGGACTGCTGGTTTCGCTGCCAGGGGCGGGGCCAAGACAGCATGGCACGCGTCGTCCTCAGACATCCGCTCTCCTCTCTCTCTTCCCCACGGGCTCCTACAGACGGCACAAGAGGCCTTCGCCTCAGCGAGGGGTAGACAGCCATCTGACAACTCCCCACCTGCCTGACCTTTACCATGCTTGACCCCCTACAGGAGACAATCACCTCATAGCAAACAGCCCTACAGGAGACATGGACACACTGTGCACACAGGAGGACACACAAATGCACAAACATGCATACTGGTCACATAGGTTCTGAGAAAGTGTCCTTTTTTGAGCTGTACAAGAATCTTTTTTTGTTTATACTGTCTCACAATATTTTTAAAAATTTCTTAATCTCTTTGTAAAAGGATTCTTTTACAAGGAATGTTTGATTGATCTTTAATCTGCTTTAAACCAAGAGGAAATCCTTCCGCTCATATAAATAGCTTTTAAATTTCAAGAGGTAAAGCAGATATTTGCCAAAGCAGAAGAGAAAACTGAGATAAGATTCAAAGAAGAAGCTATGAAAGTGTCCAATGTATCTTGAGATGAAGTCAACATATTCTGGAACATTATAAGCATAACAAACGTGAACATGCTTTATGTGAAACAATAACTTAAAGCAATAAATGATTGTAGGGTTGGAGGGGAAAAATACATATATATAAAAATATATATATATATATAAAATACAATTAAAGCATGTTTATACTGCCATCTTTACTCTTTTCCTTTAAATGTTAATCCAAATCCTAAATCTGTTGCTTCAAAGAGACGGTTAGTTCATTGGTCAGATTATTTGATGCAGAGCTGCTGATAACACAGGTCGCTTTCAGTTCTTCTTCTTCGTAGAATTTATTTGGACTGTCATGTGCATTACCACCACTACTTATTTGGAGTGTAGACTGGAACAATGGAAAAAATAAATAAAAAACTAACAAAAAAGCCCTCTCATATCCTGTTAAACAAATGTATCTGTTTAAGAAAATCTATCAAATTTTGTGAACTATCAGATAATAGATTTCTTTGTAATAATTCCAAAATATTACATTTTGGAGAGATTGCTTATCAGTTGAACCCGTTCACTGCTATATTTCTGACAATGTAACAAGTTATGTTCTATAGTTTCATCAGCTCTGCAATAATCACATTTACCTGTATCGTGTTTCTCAATTATGAACAAAAGTGCTAATTAATCCTGTGCGTCCATATCTAAGAGGTGTTATAACTATTTTGTCTCTCCTGTTCCTTTCAGCATTCCTCATTTCTCATTCACTGAATTCTATAAAACCATCTTCCTTTTCTTGCTTCTCTACATTGTTTTTGCTTCTTCTTCTTATTTTCTTCATTTTCTTCTTTCCTCTAATCAAAATATGAGCTGGTACCTATAAAAAAAGGAAATAATTAATCCCATAATTTATTCTTTAACTTATTCTTCACAGTTGGAGATAAATAAAGTCTGTCTGTCTGTCTGTCTGTCTGTCTGTCTGTCTGTCTGTCTGTCTGTCTGTCTGTCTGTCTGTCTATGAGATGTTTGCTCTATTTCTATTAAGATGTCAGGTCTGCTTTTTGAACATAACCTTCTGATAATAAATAACGATTGACCAGAATCTGAATAGATTATCAATCTTAACTGCTGATTGTCTTCAATCCGTTGAAGGGCTAGTAATACCGCTATCATTTCTCCTGTATATAATAAGTAATCATGAATCTTATCTGAGCAAAGACTTCCATCCTCACACAGATTTGTTTCCAAGCTGAAGAGCACAGCAGCTAAATTTTGGCTCTCCTTTTGAGTCCGAAGAACAGTTTGAAAACTGAAGTACACAAACGATTTCCATACAGTCTGATAAAGTTTTTTTTTTTATATATAGAAATAACATCATTTTAAGTGTTCAAGTTTCTGAACTTTAAAATTCATAAAGATGTACAAATATGTGCTATGCATCATAACGCCTGCGATGACAATATGACAGTGATAAAAAATATTTTTCGTACATGTCAGGCAAATAACATTCAGACATTTTGCTAATGTTTAAACACTTTGATTACAATGTGGCCATACTGTCTGATTACTTTTATTACTGATTTTATACAGAACTGTTTATATTCATAATATTATTAGAACTTGATGGGACATATAAGATCCTCAGTTTTGGCTTTTTTTAATACTCTTTTTATTCTTTCTGGGGTCAGAAAGACTTCCGTTTTAGTTTATATATTGGTGAGATATACTGGTATATATAAAAGCATAATTGGCTATATGAGAGGAAACTGTCGCTTACGTTGCTCATACGTCATCAAACAGCGACATGACTGTTTATTTGGGAGCGCAGGCGTGAATTTGATTTTCGTGCAGGCTTAGAAGAAGAGTAAGTAAAGTTTTTTTGTTAAATTACTTTTAAACGCTATATTTTAAATGTTTTTCTGCCATTATGTCCTTAGAAATGAACCTCCGACGTAACTCCTCGCCGAAGTTAATCTAGTTTAACCGGCTAATCAGAGAAACGTCACCAACGCGTCTGTTGTTTTTTATGTTTTTAGGTTTTCCCCTCTGGACGCAGCGTCTTACCGCGTCGCTTCTGATTAGCTGTCAACCTCATGAATCCAGTAATTAGACGGAGCCTTCCCCCGTCTGTAAGGAGCCTCCTGACAGATATCGGTCCGAAGGAGGAGAAGTGGGCCGACCCGGAGGATGAGGCTGTGTCCAGAGATGGAATCCTGGTTCCGTCCAGAGGAGCTGGAAAAGAGGAGTTTATTTCTCCTGCGACGATTCAAAAGGAAAACACTGCAGAGGACCAGTCTAACACCAGGACTAGTAGGGCAGTGTGTATGTTGTGCAATTGTAAACAGTCTAACTACACCTGTCCACGCTGTAACCTTCAGTACTGCGGTTTGTCCTGCTATCAGAGGCCAGAGCACTCCGCTTGCTCTGAGGAGTTTTACAAGGAGTCTGTCCTGAAGGAGCTCAAGGAAATGGGGAAAACAGAGGAAGAGGGGAAGAAGAAGATGCAGGAGATTCTGCTGGGACTGAGGCAGAAAGCAGAGGCAACACAGGGGGGTATGGAGCATGTATTAAAAGAGGCGGACTTGGTGGGAGAAGGAGAAGTACAGGATCAAGTGCAGGTTTTGGATCTTCTGTCCAGGTTGGCAGAAATTCAACAGTCTGGAAGGGAAAACATACCAGAGATGGAGGCTATTCTAGAGAAACTTGAGGAGATCGGAGGAGCAGAGGCGGCGCCTGGAGCTGCTGGTGAGGATACAGAAGGAGAGCTTGACTTGGCTGAGCGACTGTCCGGGCTGGACATAGACAAGCTTTCAGAGGAGGAGCTGTGGGAACTTCTTGGTGAGAAGGAGCAGAAGAAGTTCTTGGGTCTTCTGAAGGGGGGGGATCTCAGTGGGCTGGTCCCTCTGTGGAGGCCCTGGTGGGAGAAGCATGAGGAGGAAGGCAGGCAGCTCGTCCAGGTACTTCAGGAAGAAGTAAACAAACAGAAGGATAGAGATGATCAAGTCAGTGTTTCACAAGGAGAGAATCAGAAAGGAGAGTCAGCTTTTAAAATGAACAAAAGTAAAGGAGGAAAGGGAAAAAGTAAAGGAAGCTCGGCTGGAGGAGTGCCTCCAATATCTGTTAATATTCCAAAGTTGAGCTCCTTATGTGCAAATCCATCTCCTCTGGTTTGCTACAGTATAATAAACGCCCTTTATGGCTATGCCTTTTCCTTGTCTCTGTTTAACGGTGACACTGATTCGCTGATGTTCGAGTTCTGTGACATGATACTGGCCCTGTCTGAGGCACTGAGCTCAGGCAGGGTGTTCAGCTCTGTCCAGGATGCTTTAGACAGCGGGGAAACTCTCATTCTGCGTGGCGGTTACCTCAACAGGGAGGATCCTCTCGCTCCGGCCAGAGCAGTGGAGGCTGTGGCCCACATCCTGACAGGCAGGGACAGAGGAGACCCCTCCGGTTACTGCCTGGCAGCCTTTAGCCAGCTGCGAAGTACATTCTCTAAAGCCAGACTAAAGCTGTCCAAAGAGGGTGATGAAGGGGTGAGGCGACATAAGTACTTCCAGGTGGGCAAAAAATTTGAATTTTTTCAAGCCTGGGTGAAGGACAACGCACCGCAGGTTCAGATACTTGCTGTTGAACTTTGGGGCGAACATGGTAAAAGAGAGAGTGTGAGGAGCAGCATAAAGAAAACAAAGACTGTTGTTGAGGAGAATTTGAAGAAAGAAAAGAGAAGGAGGAATGATAAGCTCATTGAGGAGCTGAGCTAAATGTTTGTTGTTTTTTTTACACAATATATAATTAAATAAAATATTTGGAAACATCCCTGGTATGTTTGTGAATTTAAATGAAGTAAGGTTCATTTCTTGATGTTTCAAACAACTAACAATGCTTGGTATGGGATAATTACCAGTATCTTCCACTGACCCTCCCCCACCTGTTGCTGCACAATAAGAGTAACCTGGTACAGTGAAAGATTCCCATACTTTTGGTGTCCTATAAGAAACATAACTTAGAATTTTTTTGAAATTGTGAAAAAGAAGGATAGTTATTGTGAGGAAACTAAAAAATGACTTGCTCGTCACTCTTAATATCGGTTTGTTTTTCAAAACTGGAGTTGCTATGTTACAAGCAACATGATGGTGTGCTAATATCAATTGTTAATCCCTGAGTGATGTAAAAATCAAAAAAAAAAAAAGGAAAATTGTCAAATATTCTGCAAAACTTTTTAATTACTTATAGAAAAATGTAGGATTGTATATTGCTGTTCTTTTTTTTCCTATTGTCTGTTTTATTAAACTGATAATGAATGTGGATTTATTATTTTTATTATTGCTAGTTGTGTACCCTCAATTCTAATTCCATGATGAAATGGTTCCTAGATTTCTGCCTTAAATACAACATAAAATGTCTGAAAGTTAAATAATAGCAACATAATGATTGTTAGCATTGGCCTCTAGCCATCCCTACATTAATTGCATGGAGCTGGAAGCATGAAAATCTTCCAAGTCTCTTGATGTGGAAATAAGGAGCCAAGTTAGATCCTCCTCAATTTCCTCAATCATTATTATGAAGCTATAAGAACACTGTGCAGATTAGTGCCTCAAAGGCACCTAAAATACACAGACAAAATTTAACAAACTTGTGGAAAATACTAAAACCCTTAGAAAAAATATGCACATTGCACATACATGTATGTGGGTTTAGTCCCTCAAATGGTTTGTTTGATTGTCGTCTAGTGTATGTACGTGCCTCTAAGGAGGGGTCCATCAAACTTGAAACTTGGCACAATTCACAAAAAAATAAACTGCTTACCTAAGTGCCAAAGATGACTGATTCATCATCCAGAGAACACTGCTCTACTACTACATAATAGTCAAATGGTGGTCTAATTAATGCCACTGCATACAGCACTTTGATTGGATGTAGCAGCACAGTGGGAACCATTAACACAAAGACCTCTATGTTCTGTTCATCTGCTAATCTGCACTGCAAAAACGATCTCAAAATAAATAAAAATGCCTTAAATTAATTAAGGCATTTGAGCAGGTAAATAAGATTATTTTCCAATGGAAGGAGTATTTCTACTCTTAAAATAAGATTATTTGACATTATGCACTTCGAATAAATAAATGCAAATATTTTTTCTTTATTGAAATGCAAATTGCCTTGTTCATTTGGCAAAAAGTCTAACTTATCACCTCAAATTAAGAAAAATTGCACTTTAATGACTTATGTAGATTTATATTTTTTTGCAGTGTTAGGGTCACATGAAGTTTTGGTGGTTGGGATTTTTAGCTTCAGAAAGGAGGACTTTTCTACCCTATCTGCGACTTTACATGGACCAGCAATTTACAGCTGGGATTCTGTTTTCCCCAGCTTATAATTCATATTAATAACAAAACACATAATGTAAATAAAAAAACTTCCACATGGACATTGCAATCACAATACCACAAGATAATTTACTGATTGTGAGCACATTTTATGTAAGAATAAGTGATCTTATAACTCAAATAGGAAATAGAATAAAGTGCAGAAACAATATAATAGAATAAGAAATTAATGTATAATTGCAAAGACAGAGCTTGCCAACCCGCTATTAAAAAAGAACAAGAGGAAAAAGAAGACGAAGAAGACAGCCGTGTTCTTCAAGTACATCCCGCTGCAGCCTGCGGGAAGCCGGGGCTTGACATCAAGCCCCGCCCACATCAAGGACAGCCATATTGGAAACGCAGACGTAACAGGGCAGGGAATATATAAAGATATATGTAAAGATATGTTTTCATCTTAATTGTGAAAAGTTATCCCTCGAGCCCTGACGTAAATAGTCTGTGAATTTAAACAAAAATACGCCGCACAGTGCTGAGGCATCATTAGTGTGTTCAGCTTGAATCAGCATGTTTGAGTAGCAGGTCGACCTCCCCAATATGGCGGCCGTAATTCCTGCGCCGCGACAGCCAATGCGGGGTCTACTGATATTTTTTATTTTTTATTTTTTATTTTATTTCACTTAAAGTCACACAACAATATATAAACAAACAAACAAACAAATAAATATGCCAGGGGGTATGTCACAATAAACAAGTACAGTTAGGAGAAAAAAAACAAGCAATTATACAAACATATGTGCTGGGGAGTGTCATATATATATGTGTATGTATTATACAAATAAATATATCTTTTACAACATTAAGTTGTCTAGAATTTCTCGTTGGGAACAGATTGTTATGGTTTTTTGAGCTTTCTGATGAAAAGAAAGATGAATTGTATGAAAATATTGTTTGACTTCTATTAGATAAGCTTTAAAGTCCGGTTTTCTTTTTTAGAAATTTAAATGTATGCAAGTGAAATTTGGCCAACAAAATTAAAAGATTGATAAGGAAAGGTTTGGGAAACATTTTACTTTGCAGTTGAAAGCCAAATAAAATGTTTTTCCAATGAAGCTGAACATTTTTCATAACATTTGAATTCACATAGTTGCAAAAGTGTAACCAAAACGTCTTAGAGTATGGACACAACCAAAACAAATGTGTTACAGTTTCTGGGAGAAGATCACAAAAAGTGCAGTTCACAGGAATATCAGGTTTAAACTTTTTTAGGTAGTCTTTTACAGGATAAATCCTGTTGGGGTCTACTGATATTATATTATTATTTGAACTTCCGCACCAGCAAGTATTTGGTTATATTGCTTTTCTTAATCAACGCTGGAGATGGGCATGAGCAACCCCCGCGACCCCATGAGGGATTAAGCGGGTCAGAAATTTGATGGATAGATTTTTTCTTAATCTGCGATGGACTGGGAATCTGTCCAGAATCCACTGCACCAGCCCTAACGACACCACTATAGGGATAAGTGTACGTGTATTATAATTATTGGATAGATAAATGTGTCCTCAATGTAATGTACATTTGTCTCTAAACTACTAATTTAATTTACATTTTATGACATTTGTTTTTCATAGGGTTTGAGGATAGATAAATACATCTTCATAATAATTCCTTATTGTTGTTTATTTTAGACTGTTTGTTACTAATGTTATTTTAACATCTGAAAATTTAATAAAGATTTAAAAATAAAAAGGACATACCACGTGACAGACATACCATGTGACATAACACATTTTTTTGGCCATTTCTCTCGTAAGCGCCTATAGGCAAGAGCGGTCAGCATTTCCAATATGGGATGGCAGTTATATTAAGCTTACAGTGGGTAGAGGAGGTTCGACCAGACAGGGTGGTGATATGTACAGACTCTAAAGCAGTGTTAGAAAGTATCCAGGGAGAAGGAAATAATAGGAAAGAGTTAGTATTAGATATTATGCATAGTTTATTTAGATTATATAGAGGTGGCATTAATGTCTGGTTCTGCTGGGTTCCAGCTCACGAAGGGGTTAAAGGAAATGAAAAAGCTGATAAATTAGCAAAAAGGGCTTTAGAAATGACAATGAAGATGATAATTCCTTTCGGGAAAGGGAAATCATGTATTAAAATGAAAGAAATAAAAGAATGGCAAAAAAGGTGGAAAGAAGATAAGAAAGGGAGAAAATTATATAAATTGCAAAAGTCAGTACTAATTAGAAATATTGATGAGAGAAACAGAAGGGAAGAAATAATTATGACTAGATTAAGAGTAGGACACACCTATTTAAATGACACTTTACATTTAATAGGGAAGAAAAGTAATGATAAATGTGAAGGATGTGGAGAGAAAGAAAATGTAGAACATGTATTAATGAACTGTGGAACATATGAATCTGAAAGAGAAAATCTGAAAAGAATTGTTGGAAGGACAGGAAAAGAATGGAGTCTTAAAGGAATATTAGGAAATGAAGGAAACATAATGGATATTTATAGAGTAAGGAAAGCTTTATTTACTTTTCTTAAAAATACAAGATTAATAAATAGAATTTAATAAATGTAGAGAAAATGTTGCTACACACTCGTGTACAGTAGGTGGCAGTATGCACCTAAAAGTTACTTGCAATCCGCCATTAATGAAAAGAAGAAGAAGAAGAAGAATTTCCAATATGGCGTCCTTGATGTGGGCGGGGGCTGCAGCGGGATGCTTCTCGTGTTCTTAGCTTGGATTGGTACTCTCGCGAGATTCTTCCCTGCGAGTATGGTCACGCGGTGTGAGAGTTCCTTCACGTTGTATCAGAAAACATGGCTGCGCTCTTGAGATCAGCCCGGTTACTCAAGTTTTCCCCTTCGGCTTTGCTCCAGGTCCCGAGGAGCAGGAGAAGCGGGCCGCCGCTCGGTCGCTTGTTTTGTGGGGCTGTCGGGAGTAGAACCACCGGCGTCTGTTCCAGACAGGTCGGCCCCGTCTCTGACAGCGTGAGCAGGTAGGTTGCTGCAGGTTAGCTGGGACCCACGCGTGAAGCCGGGATGTCATTGGAGTTCAATGACAAACACAGTAATATACAACGAACAATACCACCAACAGCTTAGCACTATGGACTTTAAAATTGGTATTTTTAATAAAATAAATGTATCATACGCAACCGGCTTCTTCTGCAACTTAGTAAACAAAGCTCCTTTTTATGCAACGTTGAACGTTGTGTAACGTTGGGACAGCACATACAGCTCTCCTTACTATAATTTGACTTTTTTGTCTTTTCTTTCACATAATACACAGAGACCAACCGTTATATCTGTAGCATGTTAGCTTTTAGCATGAGGCTAACAAGTCAACGTTGTGATGCTGTAGCTAGTCTGATGCATTTTAATATTTAACAGTTTTCTTAATTTTATTATTGAATATAAACTAACACTTCATTCTTTGACCATTATAACATATAACAACTGAATAGGTAACTTCAGCAGGACTGTCATCCTTCAAGGTCATAGCTCATTACAAAATCACAAGCTGCAAACCACTGTGTTGTGGAAAGCTAACTGCATTTTACTCTATGCACACCAGCAGAACACGGTGTTGGCAGTATCATGGTGTGGGGCTGACTTTTCATTACAGGAGAAACCTAAAAAAAATGCAACCACAGCTTAAATAGAAAGATATAGAGGGATTTAGTTTAGATATGTTTGGGTTTGAATTGATAATTAAAGATGCTCTATATCTAACATTATATGTGATGGAGCTTTAGATTAATCGTAAAGAAGAAAGAGCAAAAACGTTTTTTTGTGGTACAGCTAAGGTAGAAGAGAAATACTTGAAAAGACTGGTAGCTGCGACTGCAG